TGCTTCCCTTCCACCTGGCCCTTATCCCAGTGCACAACAGCTGAGGCTCTTTGTAACTGGGATGTTACACTAGGCTACAGCTTATTTCTACCCACTTACCACCAGCATTGGGTCCTGCAGCCCTATGCCTAGGAGTGCTCCAGTTCAAGAATTCCATTCTCAAAAGTCTGTTCTCTGGGGCCACTTCCGGTAACAATTTATTCTGTATTCCCTCAGAAGCAGAGCCTGAGACAGAACTTGAGTTTAGGTAATTTATTTGAGGGGTAATCCCAGAAGCAAAGGTGAACAAATGGGGAGAAGGAAACAAGAGGAGGAAAAGCCAGTATTAGGGTGCAGGTCTGGAGGTCAGTACTGTAAATAATGGGATTAGACTGCACCAGGACCCCTGAGAAGCGCAGGGAATCTCCATAGAACTGCGGGTCTGCAGACAGGAGGCTGCGCTCCCATCTCTCACTGACCGTGGGTCACCTCTGGGGCTTTACCTCCCGCACACGGGCATATGTAAGGACTAAGAAGTTCCTCTCAGTGTTGGGGAAAGCCCTGAGGCAGAAAGTAAGAAGCCACCTGGCTTGTTTTTGAGACAAGACGCTGAGATGAGCCCACATGGAGCTGTCTGCTACAACCACAGCTGGAACCAGAGACGTGGGTCGCCAAAATTGCCTCCTACAGCAAGAATGTCAGAGCAGAATGTCAGGTGGAAGCAATATCACTGGTCACAACCTTGTACTGCTGTATGTATCTTGGTGTGCCTGAAGTACCTGTCCCTGGATTTCTTGTTCATTGAGACAAGTCCTTTATTTATTTAAGCCACCACACCTGGCTAATTTTTAAATGTTTTTAACAGACAGGGGTCTTGCTACTTTGCCCAGGCTGGTCTTGAACTCCTGGTCTCAAGCGATCCTCCTGTTTTTCACCCTCTTCATTAAGGTTTTGACTATGACTATGTCATTACTATTATTTTTCATATTTATTTATTTTTTTTAGAGGCAGGGTCTTACTCTTTTGCCCAGGCTGGAGTGCAGGGGTGTGACCATCGCTTACTGCAGCCTCGAACTCCTGGGTTCAAGAAATTCTTCCCCCTCAGCCTCCCAAGTAGCTAGGACTACAAGCACATGCCACCACACCTGGATAATTTTTAAATTTTTTTACAGACGGGGGGGTTTTCCTTCCTTTGCTTGGGTTGTTTTTGACTTTTTGGCTTCAGTTGTTCTTTTTTTTTTGGCTTCTTAGGTTGTTGGGTTTCCAGGAATGAGCCACTATGTCCAGCTGCCATTACTTTTAAACATGAAACATTTATAATTTACTCTTTGAGAGAGTTGATATTTACTATAATATAAAAGAGATGAGTATCATAGAATATGACATGAGTAATGTGTAAGATTAGGGTTGGGCTACTTGAGATCAATTAGGAATATGAAGTAATTGGGAAACTTCATTATTTGCAGGCTGTGGGGTGGGATAAAAGGGGAAAGGGAGAGAAGAGGGGAGATTTGTAAGAGGCTTCCGATCTGAAAATGCTGTAGAATGGTTTTCCCCATAAAAAAGGGTAGAGAGAGGAATTTTAGATAGAATGTAATATTTTTTAATTTAATAAGACTGTCATGTTATGAATGCAAAGAAAATTGAGGTAACCAACCTCTTTAAGATGAGACTAAACATTGCTTAAGTTTTAGAGATTTATGTAGAGATGTAAAATGTAGAGATTTATTCAGACCTGGTATGAAATAGGTAGTTTTGATGAATTGTTTTCAATTTCCAATTTTTTAGATGTCTAAGATTATCTGAAATTATAATCATGGTCATTATTTTCATAGTAAGTTCAGAGAGCACCATTTCTTTTTGTTGTTACTTGAAAATATATTTCTCTACATGCCTGAGTGTGCAACAGATTCTTTATAGAGGGGCAGGTGTGGGTATTTATTTACTGCAAGATGCCAGGGAAAGAAGTGGGTGAAGTTAAGGTTGATATCACTGCTAGTCAATCGGCATCCTTCCCCTAGAAGAGCAAGTTTGAGGTGAAAGAGGGAAAGGTGGTTGGGCCTCATGTTTGAATTCCTCCCTGTCTGATCATTCTGGATATTGTTATTGGGTGGCTTTCTGCTTAATTGATCAGCTTGTTTATTGTTAATTACTACTGAATGCCCATGAGTGTTAAGCTTTTAAATTTTATGGGAAAACATTTACATTACACAATGGGTTTCTGTCCCTAACACTCAGTCTCCAATGATAAGACAAGTGCATTTATGTAATTCTGTATTTTTGAAGAAGGTTGTTTTTACATAAAGTCATTCTAGGACATCCAAGATCTGATGAGCATACAATAAGGAATTTGTTTTGTTGTTGCCTGGTGGAACTAATTAAATACATGGACGGACAAACAAGTCAAATCAAGATGCTCCTCTAATTCATCCAAGAAACCTCCAGAGAATGATATATGTCTCTATTGATATCTTAATTGTTATAAATCACTCTGGCTTTTCCAGATCTAGATAAATAATAATCTGTAATAATATATAGTTTTTAATGTATTATTCCTATACTGGTGACCCAGAATTTATTTTTTTCTATTGGGGAAGGAATTCATACTCATATATCTAAAAATACTGAAAAACAATATGAAGTAGATCCATTCTTTAGCCATAAAAATAAAGAAATAATAAAGAAATACTGAGACAACGTGGCACTAGAGGTTTAGCCTGTATAAGTCAAGATGCCCACTGTATGGCCTCACAGAGAGACTGATCTGGGCAGGTACATACACATTCTTTTTCATATGGGAAGGGAAATGGGAGCTGATGTAAAGATATAAAAGACCACCTAGGTAGTTCCTTCCTGCATTCATTTTTGGAGGATTGGTTGGGTAAAAAAATGTTCTCTAAATCAGTAAGCTCCAGGATTCAGTGTGAACATGGTGAAGTCCTTAAAATAGAAGGTGAGGCTACACTTACGGAGATGCTGTAGTGGAATTTTTGCTGGCTAACCTACTTCAAAGCACCTATTTAACTTCTCTGTGCCCCAGTTTCCTTATCTGTAAAATGGGGACAGTAATAGGAACCTTCCTCATGGATGGCCATAAGAAGTAAATGAATTAATACCTGTAAGGAATTTAGAATATCACCTGGCTCATAATAAGCACACACAGTAAGTGTTAGCTGCTACCATCTTCACCATCCTCACCATCCCCATCCTCATCATTACCATCATCATCTTCATCTCAGGTCATTGGAAGCTTAGGATAATGTTCAATTGCTAAAAGCTGTTATTTTATATTTTTTCTAACTGTTTTGACAAAATCCTACCAATCTGATTTTTTCTTCCTCTGATTTGAATCTATCACCATGATTTGTCTTTTATGAGAAGACTTTCCTAACTTTAGTATAAATGGTAAGCTTATGGACATACATTCCTTCCTATCAGACATTTGAACAAACCTCCTCAAATTTCCCGCCTCCCTCCTCTGCAGCAGGGCAGAGGGCTAAGAAGCAGGTGACCTTGTCTAGATTGTCCAGTCACAGCCACTCCTTTACCTGTGGCTCTTTGGAAAGGACGTGCTGTGCCTGGTCTCTTGTGCTGATTTCCCCATCGTGATTCTTCCCTCTTCTCTCTCACCCAACATCAGTACCAGCTGGTGATTTTCAGAGCGAAAGCAGCCTCTCTTTGTGCTCCAGGCGTCAACTAGATCCCCCTCCCATATGTTTATACCCCTTAAATTTTCCCCTTTCCTAAATCACCTATTTAGCGCATAGCATTTTTCAGAACTAGTCTAATCTTTCCACGGTGACACTCTCAGATCCAGAGTGGGCAGGCCAAGATTTATTTGTTTTCAAATACTTTCGTTCCCCCCATGACTTGGAAATCCTTCCAAAATTACTGATAAGTCTTATTTTTATTAAGTGCAAATAACCATGGAGTCAAATTTAAAGTTTCATAGATGCCTAACCTGTAATAGAAGAAAAAGGCAAATTTTTTAAAACTATCTTTAACTCAGTTAATTTTTCCTTGACTACCCCTCAAGTTCTATAGGATGATAAGGTTTCATTCAAGTCAGCAAACTGACTTATTGGGTAGTTTTCGTGACGATTCCCAAAAACATTCTTCAGGAAATTTGTCATAACCATTACCTTCTTTTCATCGGTAACAACGAGTGGCTACTTGGCCTCCTGAGTCCACTGTTTTGTAATGTATGTACATACACAAATGTAGCTTTAAAAATATACTATGTTTTTCAGAGGCCTCAAACAAGGGAATGAACAAGGGCATGTGCCTACATATTGAGAAGGATCCTGCTTTGTGTATGTTTAAAAGAGAGCTGATAGAGTAGTTTTAGTTCCTTCTTCTCCTTGATTAAATCTTGATTAGAATCAGTGCTGCAGTTGTAGAATGGGAAGCAGTCTTCTCCTTCCTTTCCCTGCTAGAGGTAACATCACTTGATTGCTTGAGACCGTTAAAGGTGCTTTGGTAGTAAAAGGACAGCAAGATTAATGGGCAGTCATTTCCATAGTAACAGCAAAGCACTCTGGGAAACAGAGCCACTCGGGAGCCGGAGCTATACATGCCAGGATTTTGGCTCCCATGGCAACAGCAGAGTGTGGGGTGGAGAAGAACACGCTAGGAACTTAGCAAAGGTCCATTTAGTGAAGACAATGTATAATCAGAGTTGTCAATCTATTTTAAAATTTGAAGTTAAAATAAATCAAATTTGAGACCATGAGCTGATGCAAAACATTTAAAATATACTGTACGTCCACTGAAAATTTCTGAAGCATAAGCACAAATAGTTTAAGAACTATCCAATTGTGACAACTTGTTAGTTAAAAAAAATCCAATTACCAAGATTTTTGTCCCAGAGTAGTTGCAGAAAATTACACAATTAGAGCAATTTTTCTCAGCTGCTCTACTACAGAAAACGAAAGTAATTATACAAAAATAGTGTAAAATACTTTTCACAACTGCAAGTTAGGGTTTTGCTTTCTTTGGAAGAAATTCTGTTTTTCTCTTAGATAACCTTCTCAACAAAAAGTTGAAGAAAGCCAGCAGTGAAAAGAGAAAGCCATAGCTAAAAGAAGAATCAAGCACAAAGCAAAAGGTGAGTAAAATGCTAAATGACTCGAGAGAAGCTGAAAAGAATTCAGAAAGACCTAAGAACTCAGCATTCCCAGCATTCCAATTACAACGGGTAAAAGAAGTTTGACACAAAATCGTATTCCTCTTGCTTTTATTAACATTGGAGTTAGAGTTTTTGAAGGTCTCCTTTGTCCTGCATGAATTTGTAATGTATTCAGGGAGCTCAGTGTCCACTTAGGAATAGACGTTCTTTTCTACCCAGGCCTTTCAAGTCGGGTCTATGCAGCCAATGAAACAGAAGTTTGGAAATTATCTGTGGACTTGAGTATAGGTTAATTACTAATCAAATCTATTCAGGTTAGTCTATGTTTGTATCCATCACTACTATTAATAAGTAGAGCACTTATTACCAGAAGTATTTACTGAGATGTTACTGAATGTGCACTATGAATTTGGAAAACAGACATTAGTAATTTAACCTAGTTCCTGATGTGGGTTGCCTATATTCTATCTACACTTTGTGCCCAGTAGGATTTGGATGCCAAAATGTCATGTAGCCATGTGAAGGATCTGGCCACAGTGTCTCAGAGAAGAGTGATGCTTATTTGTTAAACATCATCACAACCTTTGTATCCTACATCTTGAAAAGAAGGTTTATTATAAGAAACTTCTATGGGATTGCCTGCTGGGCACCAGCAACCATAATGTGGGAACTGTCCTCCTCCCCTACCATCCTCACAGTTGGCGTTATTGTGCTTTTATCCTAATTCCCTGCTTATAGTTGATTGATTTAAGAGTGGGCACCTAAGTCAGGCTTTGCTAGTAACTAAAGTTGCAAAACTCTGGAGTTATTAGTGATCTCAATTCTTGTTCATATGGATAAAACTTCAAGAGAAAAGAATGAAGACACCAGAGAAAAGTGGAGACAGGAGATAGAGACTTGATTTACATGATGTTCAACCCTCAGTCTAGTTGTTTCTGAAGCCCAGCAGAATCTGCATTTCCTATGGCTTCCTTGTATCATCCTGTTAAGTTCTTCCCTCCCTGTTCTTTTGTTCATGTTAGCTCAAGCTGGGTTTCTACCTTTTGCAACTCAGAGTCCTAATGTAACATCCTTTTCCCAAAGCCTCTAAAAAACATGATAAAAAGAAGAAAGTGGAACAACCACTTAGACAGAAAGCACACTGTAGGAAATAAGGCAGGGACATAAAAAGTAATTGCAAAATTTTGCTTTCCTTGTAATTCAATGATTTGTGAGGAAGGAAAGAGGGCTTAGAAGTCACTACAACCAGGATATCATCAGAAGAAACAAGACTGTGAAAATGCACTAAAAATGAGAAGATGGAATCTTTCTAACTACATGTAGAGGGTGGCAAGAATCTGAGCTAAAATCCTAATTTAGGCTGTTTGTTCTGTGTTGCCTATGGTAGAATGTGTAGGGTAGGCTCTTTCAGATAGCAAGGAACATTGACCCACTTAGGCAACTAGTCCAACATCCAGATAATAGGATTTCTTAAAAAGAGGAATGGAGAAAATGAAGAGGAAACTGATTCAGGATAATTCCTCTGGACTGAAGGACTTGAATTTCCTGATAAAATGGTCTCACTGAGAGCTCAGCACAATAGATGAAAATAGATCTTCACCAAAACATATAACTGGGAAATTCAGAACACTGAGGACAAGGAGAGAATCTTAAATGCTTCTAGAGAGGAGGAAAAGAAACAGGTCATGTACAAAGTAGCAGGAATAAGAATTTCTTCTGATGTTTCAATTAGCAACCTTTTTGGGATAATGCCTTCAAAATTATTTCCAATTGAGAATTCTATATCCAGCCCAACTACCAATCACATAGAAGTATAGAATAAATACATTTCAAGTATGTAAGATCTTGAAAAATGTTATTCCCAAACATATTTCCAAGGAAACTATTGAGGAAGGTGTGCCACTAAAAAGGGAAGTAAACCAAGAAAGAGGAATACACAGGGGAAAGCAAATAGGAAGGCCAAGGGATCTGTAGGACTATAAGGGATCCCAGGGTGACATCGGTGCACATCTAGAGGGCCTCTAGTCCACAATGAAGTGGGTAATATGTCCCATTACTGAACATTATGTCTGTGAGAATCAACATGTTGTTGGGTATAGCAGTAACTCATCCTTCTATATTGCTGCATAGTATGCCAGTGCATGAATATATCCCATTTGTCTATCCAGTCTATTGCTACTGAATTGCTCAGTTTGTTTCTAGCTTTTGGCTCTGATGAATACTGATACTCTGAACACTTCTGGGAATGTGTTGTGGTACAACTATATAATTTATTAATCTGATCATAAGAATCTATAGTAAACATATTTAATGGTGAAATATTGAAAGCTTTTCCTCTGAGATCAGAAAGGAGATAATGATGTGTGATCTCATCATTTCTTTTCAACATTTTACTAGAGATTCTAGTCAATGCAATTGCCTAGAAGAAGTTATAAAAGGTATAAGGATTAGAAAGGAAGCAATGAAATGGTCACTATTTATAGACTATACAATTTGTATATAGAAAATAAAAACTTACAGATAAACTATTACAATTAATAAGTGAATTTATTAAGATTAATATAAAAAGTCATTGATATTTATGCTGACAAATAACCATTTTAATTAAAAATTAACTATTCAATTTATCATAAAATAAAAATATCAAACAATTAGAAATTAGTCAAATAAAATATACATAAGACTGCTACATATACAAAAATAACTGTAAAACATACTAAGCTAAATTAAATAAGACTTCAGTAAATCAGGGATATACCATGTTTCTGCAATTCAATATTATTAAGATGTGAGTTCTCACTATATTGGTTTATAGATTCAGTACAATCCCTATCTAAATCCCAGAAGGTGTAGTTTGAGGAACTTGAACAGCTGATTCTAAATTTTGTATGAAAACTCAAAGGATTAAGAATAGCAAAGACATACTTGAGAAAGAAAAAGTTGAAGGACATATACTACCAGATTTCAAGGCATGTTAATAAACTATAGTAAGTAAGACAGAGTGGTAATGGCACAAGAATGGTCAAATAGATCTGTGGAAGAGAATAGAGTCCAGAAATAGACCCACACATATATGGTCACTTGATTAAGGCAAAGGTTCCACTGCAATTTAGCAGGAAAAAAGAATGTATTTGCAATAAAAGGTGTTGAGAAAATAGGATGTTTATATGCAGAAAAAAATGAAAATGAACCCCTACCTCACACTATGTACAAAATTAATTTGAGGCAGATCATGATTTGAAGTGAAAGCTAAAACAAACTTTTAAAAGAAAACATAAGAGAAAATCTTCAGAGTTTCAGGGATTAGGTAAAGATTTTCTTAGGACAAAATGCAGTAATGAAAGAAAAAGTTGACAAATTGCACTTCATTAAAATTAACAACTTCATTGCAAGGATGGAAAAACAAATAAAACATGTACTCACCATTAAATTAATACTAATCAACCAACACTTATGTGCACATATGGAAGTAACATTCATCAGGGGGATCAGGCGGGTGGGAGGGGGAAGGAGGAGATGGGTAAAGTCACACCTCATGGGTGTGGTGTGTGTTGTCTGGGGTATGGGCACCCTTGTAGCTTTGACTCAGGTCATGGAAAGGCAATTTATCTGATCATAGCATTTGTACCCCTGTAGTATTCTAAAATTTTAAAAAATAATAAAATTAAGAACTTCTGTTCATCAAAAGATATCATTGAGAATATGAACATGTAAAGCAAAGAGTAGGAGAAGACAATCATAGATACAACAAAGGACTTATTTCTAAAATATAAAAAGAACTCCTACGGCCGGGCGCTGTGGCTCACGCCTGTAATCCTAGCTCTTGGGAGGCCGAGGCGGGCGGATTGCT